TTTTATATTATTTTATTAATAAGATCTTTCGTTTTTGTTTCAAATTCAAAGACTTCGTAAAATGTGGCAAAAGAGATATTGTACTGTTAAAAATGGACAGTTCACACTGGCTCACTCAACGGTGAGTATACATGTGTGCTTGTCATCTAAAAATCTATGAAACTAAGGCCTAGGGCAAACGTCGAACTTACCATGCACCGAACTTAATTACATCAAAGAATGCCGCCTCATTATCACCTGATATCTATTGTTTTAAATGAGTTTGGTGCATGCAAAGTTCGACGTTTTCCCTAGGCCTAAGACCAGCAAGGATTATGGGTAGATACATTTTACATGTTTCAACAGCTAGATAACTGTTGATGGACTCAGTWTGTTGGAAATGGAAGAAAAAATGTAAAAGAATGCAAAAGTAAAAAAAGGGAAAGTGAGAAAAACGAAGTTAACTAGAACAAAGTAGATGTATGCATGCCATATTGTTAAAGTATATTTCTCTTTTTCTTGTTGGTTATTGCAGACGAGTGAACCAACACAGACACTAAACCTTCTTGTTTGTCAAGTCAAGGTTAGTATCAAATCATTACGCTCTGAATCTTCATTTTAAGGTGCCTTACTTATTTATGATAATAATAAATAATATGTATATATATTTTATATAGCATCAATATCGCATAGCTTCAACAACGCTTTACAGTGTTCATTAGTAACTAATATTGAATTCAATGTACAAGACAGCAGGACTGAAAATAGCACTCGTAATCACCTATCACCTATCTATTAACGGCGAGACAATAAATATACTGTGAAAAAGGGAAAAAAGTTCCAATGTAAAAAAAAAGGCTTTATATGAATGTCAAGGCAAACAAAGTAAGAGAACATGGTGCCAGTGCTTTTCTTTGCATTTCTATCCAAATTGACCATCTACTTTAATCACCTAAAATCATCAAAAATATTTTGTTGTTTTTGCTACTTGGATAGTTATTATTTAAGTGAATATTGTAATTTAATAGGATAAATTAGTAAAGTTGTTGTTGTTGTTGCTTCGTGAAGCATATTTTTGTCGGAACAAATTTCCGAGCTCCAGTAGCTCAGGTTARAGCGTCTGACTAACGCAAACAGATGGCCTAGGGTTACATTCCCGTCTTTTCCGCGAAAAATATGCTTGGAGAAATACAAATCGCATCATTCTTTAAGAATAATTATTAAAAGTGTTAAGAAATCTTCTTTTTGGATGGATGTGTAGGAAGAAGTGGAAGGAAAGAGACGAACGTTTTCACTAGTATCTCGTAAGTATGAAGCATTGCTTTATTGGAAAAAAAAAWGAGATTGTTTTGTTGAGCTTGTTCATGTCTTTGTTACTTATGTACTTTTTCACTAGTATCTCGTAAGTATGAAGCATTGATTTATTTGAATAATGATTGTTTTGTTGAGCTTGTTCATGTCTTTGTTGCTAATGCTGCATTTTATTATGTTTCATTTTCTTTCTTCTTCTCCCTCAACTTCCTCTCCCTCTTTCTTCCTCCCCCTTCTCGTTCTTGTTCTTGTTTTTGTTTTTGCTTTCCTTCTCCTTCTTGTCCTCGTCCTGCTGGTCATCCTCCTCCTCCTCCTGCTCGTCCTCATCCTCTTCCTCTTCCTCCTCCTCTTCCTCCTCCTATACCTCCTCCCCAACTTCCTTCTCCTCCTCCTGCTCGTCCTCATCCTCTTCCTCCTACTCTTCCTCCTCCTCCACTTCCTTCTCCTCCTCCAGCTCGTTCTCCTCCTCATCGTTCTCCTCCTTATCGCCCTCCTCCTCCTCCTCGTTTTCGTCCTCACTCTCGTTCTTCTCATTCACGCAACGCTCCACGTGAGGATCGTAGCATTGCGTGACGATCTCCAAGATGTCTGTGTATGATTCAAAGTAATGTCACGCAGTTAATACATTATCCTTGTTCTTGTTGCAGATAATCGAACATTCTTATTCCAAGCAGAAGATGATGCCGACTTAAATGCGTAAGTGTACAGTCACGTATGTTTGTCGTTTCTCACTGGGCTTTTGCCATCTTCCAACATTCTGTATTTTGTCACAGTTTTTCTGTCATCATTCGTATTTTGACCATTTTAAAATGATTTGAAACAACACACATTGATTCAAACTTAAATAGATGCTTTGCACCATCACGTGATGGCAGCCATGACAGGAGGCACAACAATAGTCTTTTTCTCCTGGGAAACTGAATTCTTTGTCATGTAAATCAGATTAGACCAGATTCAATTGTTCCTGCCTTCTGTCAGGGCTGCCATCACGTGATGGTACAAAGCAAGAGAATATTAAGTACATAGAGGATATTTCATTGCCGCGCGGAGATACGAAATTTATCTTCGAGTGTTGAAAAGAACTCTCACGAGTAAGCGCAGCGAACGAGTGAGAGATTTTCAACACGACAATTTCGTATCTCCGCGCGCCCATGTAATATTCTGTTTATGCTTATTCTGTTTGAAATATCTTTACTATTTTTCTGTTGAAGGTGGGTGTCTGTCATCAGTAATAGTAGGAAAGAAGCCCTAGAGAAAGCCTTTGGAGACAATGATAGTGAGGTAAGAGTCAGGAGCTGTCAGATGTACTATATATTACAGTACTTGCCTCACTTAGACATTCAGGGCATGGCTAACTCACAGATCAAACCCATCAAACACGCTCTGGGCTGATCTAAGTCAGGGCACGGTAACTCACAGATTGAACCCTAAAAGAACCTCTGGGCTGATCTAAGTCAGGGCATGGCTAACTCACAGATTGAACCCTSAAACAACCTCTGGGCTGATTTAAGTCAGGGCACTGCTAACTTGGCTCATGATTTTACTAAAAATATATATTCGTTTGAAGCCACGGGATGGTTCATCATCAATAGTACATAATATCAAAGAGGTAAGTAGAGAATAGTTAACATTTTGGTATCAGTATACTTATAGAATACCCCGCAAATCATATGCGCATACTTAATGAGAATGACTTCTATTGTTGTATGCGTCGTTCTACAAATAGTTCCCACAACTGCATATGGTTTGCACATCATTTCCACAAAATATCCTTTAAACATTTCAAAAAGGCCCCCTCATTTTACCGCCATTTGCATTGCTACGCGGCGACCCCAGACAAAAATCACGACGTGCACTTTGCAATAGAATGCCGTCAATCAAACACGTTGACGCGTTTGGATCGGCCCGGATAGGTCCGGTGAGTGTGGCTCATAATACTTGTAAACAATCGACAAGCTTTGGCGCCTTTTGAATCACACACTCGTGTAAAATGGCGTCAACGTGTTTGATTGACGGCAGTCTATTGCAAAGTGCACGTCTCGATTTTTGTCTGGGGTGGCCGCGTAGCAATGCAAATAGCGGTAAAGACCACCTCGTTTCTGAAGTTAAAAAAATGATAGCAAAATGCGAGTAACACAAGTACAAATGTGTGTCGGCGTCACTTTCATTTTCAACAACACACGGTAAAAAGTTCCAGGATTAGTGTGCAATTAATTAATTAATTGCACGGATTAAGAAAAACATTAACGACCTAACAACCAATCAGAAACAAGTATTCTATGTAGATGTGGTAATATGTAAATTACTACTGAGAGAAAAAACTCAATGAATCAAGGTTGGTGTAGTGTTACTGTCCATGGTAACCTGCAAGCAGAGTCTCCTTTACCTCTTCCACGCTTGCGCCCACGGACCACAGGGAACCCATACAAACCACAGGGGACCCAAAGTAGTAACATGAAGTGTACTCGTATCTCACACGGCCCAGGGGTGGTACATTCAATATCGAGAATCACAGAAGTATTTAAAAGGGCTTCTCAGTCGTTCAAATCAATTAAAACCTCTAGCAGCGAAAGGAAACCGCACAAACGACATTCCAGTCAACATAAACGTCACTGAGGCTTTCAGTACCCATCGTTGATTTCCTGAGTTTTTTTTTCTTGTAGTAGTAATTAATATGATWAAAAAATACTACTTGCATTTGATCAAAGTGGGTGGATTCCACTCATGCTACGCATTCCTGGTATTAAGCCACTTTCATCAAATGTGCATGGTATTTTTCATTAATTCTTCTCGAACAGTGGTATTTCCTATATTGATTCGCAACGGGTCAGCCAAACAATTCCGTATCCCAGGAGAGTAAATTGTATAAGTTTTTGATTATTTGTCAATATCTCTTTATTGGTATTTTCAACGTTATATATCTTTCTCGCAGTTAAGACAAAGCATCGTGGAACAGGTGCAAAGGCTTCCTGGTAATGACACATGTGTGGATTGTACAGCAAAAGGTATGTATTGCTCACACTTACA